CCAGAATTCTTAAGACAGTTAGCTTTTATAACAGATCTGACTAATCACCTTAACAGTTTAAACTTGAGTCTTCAAGGAAGAAACCAGACGGTTTCAGATTTGGTCGGAATAATAAACGGATTCCGGAATAAGCTAAACGTGTTTAAACATGCTTTGGAAAAGAACAACCTAACACACTTCCCTAGCTGCCTGAAACTAGCAGAAGAACCCAACAGTGAGAAAAATATTGACTTTTCATGCTGCAGTTCACAAATTCAACAAGTTATTAATGAATTCAATACACGATTTAAAGATATTGAAAGTCTCAAAAGCAGTGTACTGCTTTATAATAATACTCTTGGAGCATCCATTGAAGATCAACCACCTGACTTACAACTTGAGTTAAGTGACCTTCAAGCTGACATGTTCCTAAGCACCAGACAAGAAAAGGGACCTGAATTTTTTTAATTGCTATCTAAGGAGAAATTCCCAAACCTGCGAGATTTTGGACTGAAAATGACATCAATGTTCGGAAGCACATATATATGTGAAAGTGCCTTTTCCCACATGAAATACATTAAAAACCCCAACAGAAGCAACCTTACTGATTCTAYCTTACGTCATCWMATGRGATTGTCTACAACTGAACTGGCAGTGGACATTTCTTCATTGGTGGATGAAGCCGATCGACCACAGTCTTCAMATTAGATATATTTTCATTATTATTACAATGTTTGTCTTAGTTCTTTAAAAAACTRCCTCTACATTTTCWGYATGTAGAAAAAATTTAGATGTTGAGCAATAAAAGAAATAATACTACTTTTTTGTTTTAATTATTTTTATACCTCTCATTATTTTGTTGTTACATTAACAAAATTAGTGTATGGCCCGCAACCAGATCAGAGGTTTAAGTTTTGGCCCTTGCGGCCTTGCAAGTTGGACACCCCTGATCTAGAGTGCACACGGGATTTGGTTGCACAGCAATAAGCATGGGAACGGCCAGGGGACCGTATTTCATTTGATCGATCGGTACATGCGGGCGCGCGGTTTCACATTTTTTTGACAATGTTACGGAAGGTGGCGAAGCAATTCTATAGTATATTCGGAAAGCCAGGAAAATTCTCTACAAGTTAAATATGAAACCAGAGTGCACACGGGTTTTGGTTGCACAGCAATAAGCGCGGGAACRGCCAGGGGATCGTATTTCAGACGATCGATCGGTACATGCTGAGGAATTATTGAAAAAGAAGCATCATGTTACTGGTCCACAATGACCGCGATTTATTTTTTTAATTTAATTGGTGACGTTTGTATTATTGTTGTTATACTGTAATTATTTCATATTATTCGTTTATTGAACATAAACATAATGTCTAAGAGGAAAACTGTCGATATTACACATTTTTTTAAAAAGAAAAGTGTAACTAGTGCAAGTGCTGTGGAAAATAATGATCGAACAATTGAGGAAAATAAAAATCGAATTGCTGTGGATTCAAGTGAGTCGTCTTTAACATCCAAAGAAAAAATTGAATCAAATATTTTTCAACCATTAAACACTGAAATTAATTTAAATAATACGCTAGGTATTGGAGATTTTTTAAATTCAAATTCTTATATTAATAATATTTTTAAAAAACAACTTCTYGAAAATCATTGGAGACCCCTAAATAAAAATGATTTTCCTTTTTCTATTCAWAAWAAATGTRGTAGTATAGAAAAAAGATTCGTAAAAATAGAGCATTTGGAAAAATATTTTTGGCTACTGATATCAAAATCTATGAATGGTTTATTCTGTTTTTATTGTTCAGTTTTTAATCACTCTAATACTGGCACAGGATCAAAAAATACAATGCCTCTTAAATGTCTTGTAACCGAACCTTGAACTGGGCTAGTAGGGCCAGCGGTCTGAACTCTCATTTTTATACTACTGACAGGTATTAACAAATAAGTTTCAAATAAAAAATAAGTTATTTATTCTT